CTTCTCAAGCCACGTCCACGTCTTCCTTTGCCTCTCCTTGTCAAGCCACGTCCACGTCTTCCTTTGCCTTTCATTCTAAATCTTTGTTTAACAATTCGTCTGTGTGTACGGAACACTTTCATATGAGCACGTCTATGCTGAGCTATAAGCGCACGAAGTCGTTTTCTGTCTATTTTAAGACGTCTGATCTTTATATTTCGTAGTTTATAGGTTTTGGATGCTAATATCTGTCTCTTCCATACACGTACCCTGTGGTGCATTATACTCAGCTTCTTCCTCAAGTTTCGTCTCAACAGCCTCTTAAACCTCTGGAAGCGGAATCGATGTAGCCGTTGTAGCTTTCTTTGATTTAGCAAAAATTTTCTCTTCTCCTTGATAAGATTGTGGCGCATCATCTTCTTCGTTATTCGATTAATCTTTTTCCTTTGTAAACTTTTCTGGCGCGCATATAAACGTTGCATGTGTTTGAGTTGCCTTTTTGCTTTACGAATTACAGCCTTTTTTCGCATCAAGAACAATTTTCGTAGATCCATTAGCTTTCGCTTTCGTAGTTTCTTACGGCGTAGATCTCGTCTGTATTGCTTCTTGTTACGAAGGTGTTTTCCAAGGAATGACATTCGGCTCAGCTGAAAAAAACCAGCACGGTTGATCCATTTTTGACGATTACGTAGATTCTTTCTTAGTATTCGCTTCCCATGTCTGAACTGCTTTATTACCCATGCTTTCGCTCTTGTTATTCTTGAAGTAAAAGAGTGACGGATACGCGCAAATTTCCGAATTTGTACCTTTTTTCTAAATCTCAACTTTCTCAAGTGAGAGTACCAGCGATATCTCATAAAACGCTTTTCTTGAGCCATAACGTAGGTATTGTATCTTTGCTCTTGACGTCGAATGTGAGCAAGATGTCTTCTCTTCTGCCGGTCGAGTTTACGAATTGATTTTCTTAGTTGATGACGCTTTTGGCGAAGTCTTCTATTGTAAAGGACCCTGGCTTGTGCCAGGCGTTTTCGTCGTAATCGTTGTAACTTTTTGTTTCTCGCGCTACGAGCTCTTTTACGTAAACGACGAAGGCGTATTTTTTTTAGACGGTACAGCTTAGCTCTTTGTATCTGACGCTTTCGCTTCAGAAAACGACGCTTCAGCGCTGCCAAGTATCTCTTCCTTTTCAGCTTGCGAAGTCGAAGTATTTTGCGAAGGCGCTGTCTCTGTAGTCGCCGAAGACGAGCAAGGCGTCGTTGTTTAGCCCTCTGCCTTCGTAGGAATTGCTTTAATCTACGCAATTTTCGCTGACGCCTAAGTTTCATCGTTCGGCGCAAAAGAAGCATTCTCTGACGATGAGCAAGGCGTCTTAACTTTGCTCGTCTTCGTAATAACAATTTCATTTTTCGATTGCGTAGTCGTCTAGCTCTAATCAGCGCTGCTCGTTTTCGTTTTCTGGCGAGTTGGCGCAGTCGGCGAAGTTTCTTTTGGCGAAGTTTGGCTAGTAAACGTGCTCTCTTATTACGCAAATGGAAAACGCGCATTTTTTGTAACTGGAACTTACGGGCTCGTTTGACTTGTCTTCTTCGTCGAGCATACACTCTTTTTAGCTTTCTTAAGCGTCTTCTCAGATTGCGTTGGTGAAGCTTTCTTGCTTTTAGAATCTTAAGTCGCTGTAATTTAAGACGACGTGCTAAACGTTTCTGAAGACGCCTACGTCTTTTTAGCAATCGTTTTAATCGCCTAAATTTCTTTCTCAACATCAACTTCTTTTGAAGACGTTGGAATAGTCGGCGACGCCTTCTTCTAATACGCCTGAAGCGAGCAAGCCTTCGTTTTCTCATCATAACCCTTCTCCTATGGAGACGCTTTGCTTGAATCATTAACCTACGGCGGCGTTTTAGGTACATGTTTTTCACCTTTGCTAATGTTTTTCGTCGTAATGCGGCAAGTTTACGGGCTCGAGCTCGGGCTCGACTTTTTCGAAGATTGCGTAATCTCATAGCACGCAGTTTTGCCAGGCGTCCACGTTTGATTTGCCTTCGTCTTCTCTGAGCAAGACGTCTCAGTTGTCTCAATCGTCTTCGCCGTTTGCGCAGAAGCCGTTGCCTTGCTCTACGCTGGCGTCGTTTCAAGGCGAGTTTACGATTCTTTAGATAACGAAGATATCGCTTCAATTTTTGTGTTTTTCCTTTCTTCTTTAAGGCTTTTATTATTTTCCTTGAACGGCGTTTCATTCTTGCAAGTCGCTTTCGCTGACGCCGCAGCTCCTTACGCCTACGTTGTTTGAATTTGCGTAGCTTCTCACGTCTTCGTTTGATATAAAGTTGACGCAATTGTCGTAATCTCTTTTGAATTAATGCTTTACGCCGCCGAGCACGTGCTATAGCGCGTTTACTTCGAAGCCTTTTAATTTTCATTAGACGTAATCGCCTTAAACGTGCTTTCCTTATTCTTCTCTTTTGCTGTCGTAGCCGCTTTCGCAAGGCTTTCTTACGGAGTCGGGCCAAACGCAATCGTCTTATCTTTGCTCTTTTAAGGCGTCTTAGGAAGGATTTTTTCAATTTTTTTAATCGTCTTTTTTGCCTATTTCTCTTGCGCTTGAGAGCTCTGATCTTTCTGGTACGTTTTTTCCTTCTGAGTCTTCTCAAGCGACGCAGCTTATTCAAAAATCGCAACCTTTGTTGCTTCATTTTCTTTTTAAGTAGAGTCTGAATTCGTCGTCTTTTTTGTCTCAATAACTTGCGTGCACGATCTCGCTTGCGTTTTATCTGTTGAAGACGTTTCCGATAAATTCGTTTTGCTTGAGCAAGTCTTTTTTTACGTAAGCGTCTTAGGCGCTTAAGTAATAATACTCTCAGACGATTATTTCTGCCTGGTCGTTTCCTACGGCCAGGTCGTCCTCCACGGCCAGGTCGTCTACGTCCAGGTCGTTTGCGTCCAGGTCGTCCTCCACGGCCAGGTCGTCT